AGTTCTTGTCCTACTTTGAGCCATTATGGAGAATAAACCCATATCCTCTTTACTATTGCAGCCCTTCCATGTATTGGAAAACTGTTATTATGTCTTTCCTTAACTTTCTCTTCTTTAATCTAAACATACTCCGTTCCTTTAACTCTTATACTAAAGTTGTGAGTATCGTGCTAATTTTTCTCTTTTCTGTTTATTTAGGCTCTCCAACACTAGTCCAGTCTATTAGATTTCTGCAAAGTTTTGATTTGAAGATCTGATTTGAAAGAAATTCAAGTGAATTTTTAAATTGAACTAACTTTCTGAATCAAATCAACAATTCAAATAAAATCATTTATCCCAACACCTCTGAATCACGTTGATGATTTGTAAGTTCATTTATGTTGCACAAGAACAGTTTATTCCAGTTTGATTAAAGTTTAGATCAGATTGAATCAACATGTTTCAGTGCTTCAAGTCAAAGCATTGGATCAAATTTTCTAGATCAATTCCAATCTTTGAATGGAAGCCAAGCGGCAATCTAGATCAGATCAATTATTCCAATTAGTTCAGAGCTGATTTGCCAGCATAATCTCTTCTCTAGATCAGAATTAATCCAGTTGTCAGAGGATAAATGTTTCCTTGGAAGGAGCCATCACAGCATGATCTATTTTTATAAACTGCAACTGTTAAAATACAAAAGGAGGAATCCTGTCACAGTGGTATGGTATCACCTTTGCATGTAGGCGATTTCAAGTTCAGTCCCTATGTAAGGCTAGGAAAATATCCAGTCTTGTCTCTGTAGGCCATACTAAACTTTCTACATTCCACTGAGAATTTTTTAAAAAATCCTCCAGGAGATTGCAAATAAAGGCTTAAAGACTTATATGACAAAGAAACAGGTTATTAATTTATAAATTGAAACATAAAAGTATTCTTTACATACCAAGCTCCAAAACAAGATTAATATTTGTTTACTGTGGAGGACAGTTGCTTTCCAAGAGCCAAAGGGAAGATGCTTTCCTGCATAATCTGTCCTGCCACAGAATTCAGCTTCTGTCCTCACACACTAAATATACATCAAGTTAGCAAAGGGTGTGAGAAGGGTTGTGGCTCCTGGTTTATGGATCTGTATGTCAAAAAGTCCCTGTTAAATCTTAATGGTAACAAATTTACTGATTGTAGTGAAATGATTTTTATATTTCATCCTTTGCATGAGTCATAGCAACACGTGATGTCTCAGAAAACAGCTGGGCTGTGCATTTAGTTAGTTATCCAAGAGCTGTAGCATCTCTTAAATGATAATTTTCCCAAACGCCATCACTCTGCTAAACAAATAATTCCCTCAACACTGTCAAACTATTTACTAAGTCTGCACTACTATTAATCTTCTTATCGTTCCCACCACCCATCTCCTTCCACTTATGACTGTATGACTGTAATTTTGTTGCTTGGATCCTTATGATTTATATTGATATCATCAATATAAATGATGATTCTTATGATTCTTGATGAACGTATCTTTTCTTTTATGTACACTGAGAGTGTATGCACCAAGACAAATTTCTTGTGTGTCCAATCACACTTGGTCAATAAAAAATTCTATTCTATTCTATTCTATTCTATTCTATTCTATTCTATTCTATTCATTTTTACTTTGCAATGTATTTTCCAGGCCATATTGAAGTCCAGCTTAAATAGAATAAAATTGAATTAATTATGAAAGGGAAAGCTCTGCAAAATCAATCTCAATCTCTCTCTCTCTTACTCTCTCTCTCTCACACACACACATTTATTTCAGCCTTTTCCATTTCTCAGTACTTGTTTTTCCCTCCTGTTTCCCCTCTCTTTCCTTTCAGCTTTTTTCTCAGCAAGATGCACACATCAAGTACAGCCTATCTGCATGTGCACACAAGAATATTCACCAAACTCATAACCCAGGTTAGCTGCTGTCTTTGTCATGTTTCTGCTTGGGGCAGATATGAACCTGCTTGCACGAACATGCCAGAGATATCCAGCACCGATGCCTGCGTTGTGGCTCTTATGCTTCAGAGTTCAGATAGCTAGGGATAAGATCAGCCATTTAAAATTCCCATAGTTCCTCTGTGCAATGTTGCTGCCGAGCATTGTGGGAAATTAAGCCACCTGCTGTGAATTCCGAGAGCTGCAGTTTTTATTTCTGTCCGCTGCTTAAAGTTCATGCAGAGCCCAGGAGGCAACATTAGAGCCAAGGCTTCCATTGAGGGGTGGGGGGGTTGTCAAAAACAGCAAGATGATAGTTGAGAAGTCAAAGCCCCACTGCTTGATGAATGTGTGTGATGTTGATATGTATACAAAAGGGGTGGGATTTCTATTATGATGCCACAACTATCACCTTGTTTGAATTGATTTGCTCCAATTGGTTAAAGGCATTGTTGGAAACGTCAAGGTGTGTCTTTGACTGTCCCCAAGGCCATTGGGGACAGTGCCAAAGAGGTTGTAAAAAAAAATGCTTTTAAAAGGCTCTGACGATCCCAGCTGAGTTGCCTGATCATCAGAGGCTTTTTTTTTCTTTTAAAAGCATTTTTTCTACAACTTCTTCGGCACTGTCCCCAATGGCCTTGGGGACAGTCAAAGACACACCTTGACGTTTCCAACAATATTTGTAAAAAAATATTCTTTTAAAAGCCTCTGACGAACAGGCAACTCAGCTGGGATCGTCAGAGGCTTTTAAAAGCATGATCCGCACAATCATCAGAGGCTTTTTTTTTTACATTTAAAAGCATTTTTTCAGCCGAAGAGGTTGTAGAAAAAATGCTTTTAAAAGTAAAAAAAAAGCCTCTGATGATCGTGCAGCTCAGCTAGGCATGGGGGAGGGGGCAGGGATTTTTTCTACCGGTTTTCCAAACCACCCACTGCCATTGCTACCGGATCGGGCGATCTGGTCCAAACCGGGAGCATTTCACCCCTGATTCACACCTAAGAGCGTGGGATTCTTTATCACAAGGTGTAGTAATACAATTTTAAGCAAATTCATGGAGGGTTTTGGATGCAGCATGCCTCTGTTCCTGAGGAACATGAGTGGGATGCCACTGCTGTAGCCCTCAAGATCAGTTGCAACAGAAAATATCTGGTTAGCCATTGTGGGAAACATAAGGACAACAATATTCCTCTCCAAACATCTCAGTGAATATCACAATTTTTCATCAAGCACATTTTAACTCTTTATTGCAAGCTTTTTGTGGAAATTATCCCATCGTTTACCTATTTTCAGGCAGTTCTCAACTTACGACCACAAATGAGCCCAACATTTCTGTTAAGTGAGATATTTGTTAAGTCAGTTTTGCTCCGTTTTATAATCTTTCTTGTCACAGCTATTAAGTGAAATCACTGCAGTTGATAAGTTAGTAACACGGTTGTTAAGCGACTCTGGCTTCCCCATTGATTTTGCTTGTCAAAACGTTGCAACAGGTGATCACATGACCTCGTGATCAGCAACAATCATACCAGAGGTGAAATGTAAAATGTGTTACTACCGGTTCTGTGGGTGTGGCTTAGTGGGAGGGGGGTAATGTGAGTAGGTGGGCGTGGCCAACTTTTTTTAAAAAAACTTTTCAAAGCATGTTTTCTAATGCTTTGAAAAGCCTGTGGCGATCAGGCAACTCAGCTGGGATCGTCAGAGACTTTTCAAAGCATTTTTTTTACCACCTCTTCAGCCAAGAGGTTGCAGAAAAAAATGCTTTGAAAAGCCTCTGAGGATCCTAGCTGAGCCGCGTGATCATCAGAGGCTTTTTTTTTACTTTTAAAAGCATTTTTTCGTCGGAAGAGGTGGTAGAAAAAATGCTTTTAAAAGTTAAAAAAAAGCCTCTGATGATCATGTGACTCAGCTGAGCATGGTGGGGGGGCACTGGGATTTTTGCTGCCAGTTCTCCGAACCACCCGCCGCCATCGCTACCGGATCAGGCAATCCGGTCTGAACCGGGAGCATTTCACCCCTGAATCATACGTATGAACCAGTTGCCAAGCATCTGAATATTAATCACACGAGCCTGTGGATGCTACAAAGGTTGTAAGTGAGAGAAATGGTCGTAAGTCACTTTTTTCAGTGCCATTGTAACTTTAAACAGTCATTAAATGAACTATTGTAAGTCGGGTACTACCTGTATAAGCAATTGAATCTGTTCCAGTGGTGGGTTTCAATTTAGTTTGCTACTGGTTCGGTCATACGCGCAACGCTTCTGTGCATACGCAGAGGCGTCTGGGCGGGTGGGCGGAGCCTCCCGCCACTACCGCTACCAGTTTGCCTGATCCGGGGCGAACTGGTAGCAACCCACCACTGATCTGTTCCATCATTTCCCCAGATATACCCAAGATATTCATCAACATAATTTACTCAAAAAAGTTTTTTTTTTAATTCTAAAAGTAGTTAATGCAATGTAACAGCCTAGGCAATTTAATCATTCTTTTTATACTTACAGTAGCCTTCTTTCGCATATACAGGACATGAAATAATGAGGGGGGGGGGAAATCTGTTATATCCTAACTTGTGTTTTAAAAACTATTTTTTGCATGAAATTGAACAAGATTTCAGGAGATCCTTTTCCAGTCTCAACTCTTAACAGGACGGGGGGGGGATACTTGCAGTGGGCTGTTGGCATTCCCTTCATCTCAGCATGCCACACTGCTGCTTTTTGGATGGAGCTCACAGGGCCTGGAGATCAAGCTGTGGAGGAGTCTTCCCAAGCAACTGGCAGCATCTGGCCCATTGGCAAACCGAATGAGCGGTTGAGCTGGTGACAGTGGCAGCAGCTTTTGAGTAGCTTCTGGGTCTGTCATGCAGTTTGGCTCTCTGAACTGTGTTGGCTGTTTTTACAGATTTTTTCAAAAATGCTTTTTCTTTTTAGACAGTCTTCATGGTGCAAAATCCTTCTGCTCTAGGGAAGCATCAGCACCAAAATGTTCTTGTCTAGCCCACATTCAACTGAGAAGTTACTTTTCTGTGTTCTGCTTTGGTTTGTCAGTTGGTTTTAGAAGGGCTGCCTTAGAACTTTAAGAACAGATACTTGTCCAGCAAAGCATCACTGAAGGACAATTTCAGGTGCTATCTTGTGTGGTGTGTGTGTGTGTGTGTGTGTGTGTGTGTGAGAGAGAGAGAGAGAGAGAGAGAGAGAGAGAGAGAGAGAGAGAGAGAGAGAGAGAGAGAGAGAGAGAGAGAGATTCTTCTGTTCCCACAATAGCAAACCTTAGCACAATCCAACCCTTGTTATGGTAACAGAAAATGCTATTGGTCTAATATAGGGGTGTCAAACTCAAGGCCTGTAGGCTGGATCTGGCCCATGGGGTGCTTAGATCTGGCCCATGGGGCCACCCTGGAAATAGCGAAGAACCGGCCCATGGTGTCTCTGCCAGAGAAAATGGGTGGCCCTCCTAAGCTCCATTTTCAGCTGCAACAGCCTCCTGCACCCTCTGCCAGAGAGGGCTGCAGGAGGTCGAGCTGGCTACACCCACCCCAGACACACCCACTCAGCCCCAAGGTCAAACACAACCCTGATGCGGCCCTCAATGAAATTGAGTTTGCCACCTCCGGTCTAATAGTACTTAAATTGTCCTGATCATCTTTATAATAATTATGGTCTGCAGCTGCCAGGTATTTTGTGGTATGGAAAACAACAGGATGAACAACAGGATAAATCATAGCTCAGGGATGAAACAAGGCCAATATCACAAGAAGATAAAATCATCTTTGATTTTAGGCCAAGGGGATATATGAGTATGCCCAACCTGCTGAGAAGACCAGAATATTATTTGTATTCCAAAACATAATATTTTTAATTTAACCTGTATATAGGGATGTATCTTTGAAGGTGACAAGTTTTCAATGTCTGAGCTCAGCCTTCAGAATTTGGGTGTCTTGAATGTTTTAGCTTTAGAGTTGAAATGGAAATAGAATAGCAATAGCAATGGCACTTAGACTTATATACCACTTCACAGTGCTTTTACAGCCCTCTCTAAGCGGTTTACAAAGTCAGCATATTGCCCCCCAACAATCTGGGTCCTCATTTTACCCACCTCGGAAGGATGGAAGGCTGAGTCAACCTTGAGCCTGGTGAGATTCAAACTTCCAAATTGCAGTCAGCCGGCAGTCAGCAGAAGTAGCCTGCAGTACTGCACTCTAATCACTGTGCCACTGCAGCTCTTAGAAATAGAAAGTTAGAAGAGAAATAAAATTAAAATGATGATAAAATGGTAGAAATGTATTTATTTATTAGCATAATGCTTGCTGCATTCAAGGAGATTCTCTGCCATGTGTAATACAAGTCTATATAAGCTTTATGATGCAAGTGGGAAAATAGCTTCCATACTTGCAAAAATTACTCTGTGAAAAGTCTATTTCAAAAGGGGATAAGAGGTTTTTGCCTTCTATGTCAACTTCCTTGTTTTAAATCATCATCATTATCCCCCTTTCCCCTTGTAGCTCAATGCAGCATAGATACCATTTATGCTTCCATTTTTTTCTTCACAATAATAATGTTATAAGGTATACTTCAGTTGACAACAACTAACCCAAAATCACATAGTAAACTTTTGTGAATTGGGACTCCTAACCTTAGTCCAACAACTAAGATCACTGCACTGAAGAACATGAAAACTGTTCTTCCAACCAACATAAATATTCTGTCATCTCAATCTTCATTGCTCCTCGCTGGCAGTTTGTAGCCTTGCTGCCTGAACCTCAGACTTTGCATAGATATCAGACATAACAAGCCACAACTGAAGTATAATAAAAAAATCAGTTTAGGACAGGGGTCCTCAAACTACAACCCGCAGGCTGGATATGGCCCACTGAAGCCATGAATCCAGCCCATATGGGACCACAAGACTGCCCTGCCCACATCACCCCACCTACCCACCGCTCCCACCACCACCTTCTGGAGGCCGAGGAGGCCAAAAACAGGATGTGTGAAGGCCCCAGGAGGCCAAAAACATCCTCATTTTTGGGCAGCAGAGTGGTTATGAAGGCCAAGGAGGCCAATAACAGGCCTGGTTTTGGCCTCCCCAGCCAAGAGAGAGAGAGGGAGGGAGAGAGGAAGACACACACACAAACAGAAGTCCCTCACCCCTCCCCAAAGGCAGCCATATCTCTGTTTTCCACCCCCATAAGAAATAAAAGTTTAATTTGTGTGTATTGTTTAATGGACTGCTAAATTGGCCATGCCCCCCAGTCACATGACCACCTAGCCATGCCCACCCAGTCACATGACCTCCTAGCCATGCCCACCCAGCCGGTCCAGCCCCCTAACAATCTGAGGGACCGTGAATTGGCCCCCTGTTTAAAAAGTTTAAGGATCTCTGGTTTAGGGTCTCCAATATGCCATTTGACTACTTGCGAAAAGATAATTTGTTGCTCTTTTCTTTTAGGGAGAGCAAGATCTCTTGACCTCTTATGTCCACACAAGATGACCTTTGATTATCACCTTCCATCTCCAGGACTCTTCTGGCCCCACAACTTGAAAAAAAAAACTTCCTCCAACATGGATACTTGAAGGAGAGTCAGAAAGAGTTAACATCTGTATTTTGTATGAATTTAAGGTAATTTAAGATAACTATAAGTAAGTTCATTGTGTGTAAAGATACCGTAGTTCTATTATTCCTAGGATTTTAAAACTAAAAAAGTTTTCCAAGGTCAACTAGCTCAATCCTTTGTTTGATGCAATCAATCCATTACTAGGACGTCTCTAATAAGTAGGTTGAGATTTAATCAACTTCTGAGGCAGTACATTTCTTTATCCAGCATCTCATACCACCAGGAAGTTTTGTCTAATATTTAATCTCAATGTAATTTATGTCTTTTGGTTCAAATGTGTCTATCCCCTGAAGCAGGAGACTGCAATTGAAGCTCCTATTCAGTGTTCAGCCTAATTTTAAAGCTCTTTTCAAGATATCAGTTCAGACTACTGGTTAAGAACCAGGGGTGAAATGCTACCGGTTTGCACCGGTTCAGGTGAACCGGTAGTTAAAAAATGCTACCAGTTTGTCTGAACCGGTATTTCTGACGATCAGCTGTGCCACAAAATTTATATTTGCTAGAAAGCAATCTAAATCTAAATCTAAATCGAATCTAAATCGTGCGGCACAGCTGTTCTCTCCCCTCACTGTTCTACTTACCTTCATAAACCTCCTTTTTCTGTGCTGCATGGTAGCACCTGAGTGCAAAGCGCGCATTTGGCACATATTGTGTATGCATGTGCATGCAATGTGTGTTTCGTGCACACTGCACATGTGCACACAGCAAACTGGTGGCAAACCTCTGAGGATTTCACCACTGTTAAGAACTATCTGTCTATTCCCACAACTTGCTGCTTAGAAGATAGAGAAGAGAAGAAAGGACTGGGTGTGTAAAGAAGGAAAAGAAAATATCAGAAGCAAAAAATGTCAACTTTCTGCTCCTGCATTTTGTTTTCATTGAATCCAGCTGCCACATAGCCTTCAATAGAGTTTGACTATTAGTAGCAAAAGGTTGCCCAGTCAGGTGACATATTGTGGGAGAGGAAAGATCAAGGGCCATATTATTGTGGTGTTGACAAAATAGGTGTCGTTAAGATTTTCAGAGGAATCTTTGAGAGGGCTTGAGGTTTGTTTTCTTTTTCTCTTGGTTGCTTTTCTGCTTGCAGTATTAAGCCTAAAAAATAAAGGCTTACAGAGCTTGTGAGTGCTTTGCATTTGTGTATACGTGCGTATAATGACTCTGGCCATTTCTTAATTATTTGCCATTGAAATTTAATGGTATGATTTCTGGGGACTTGGAAAATAAAACAGGAGGAAAAAAGAATTGGCTTTTAGTGGTCATTTATGGCTACCTCTAGCTCAGAAGAACATACTAAATTTCATGTTGTCCCCTGTGTCATTTACTGTAATAGCAACTGCTAAAGGAGGATCTCCCCACATTTGAAGTTCATAGGAGTTTAGAACAAGCCACAGTGATATAATGATTGTCCTCTTGCCCTCTCCATGGACATCCATGTGGTGCCCTGTCGTTAATAATATTCGGTTTCATTTCCCCATTCCGTTAGATTCCAGGAAGAACACACAGTACCTGAACTGTTGTCTAAGGACACTAATGGACTAAATGTGGATTTCACAAGTGAAACTTATTCCAGACGCAGTGCTTTGGGGATTTTTTCCCAGGGCTGCTTCTGAGCTGAAGGTGATGCTGTTCCCTTTGAAATGAAAGCTTGTTGATGCTTCTGTCTCTGTGTTTCTCCCTGCCCCAGGAAGAGTTTACTTTCTGAAATCTTGTGTAACTGTCTTATAGGCAGGGGTGTTCCAAGATAGTTTCAAGATAGTGTCTGCAATGGTGTAACTAAAGCTTTGCCTGTTTTTCACATGCAGTTTTGGGATTTTAAAAAAAAAAAACATACCCTGCAAACACCATTGGCAGTGGGCCTTGTCCATATTTAGCTGTCCCATTAATGTATTTGCTAAGAACAAAACAGGTTAACTGTACTGTTACATTTTTATGAGGTTGTTTTAATGCTTGTTATTGTTCTTTTAAAATAAGTCTCTTCTCTCTTTTTTTAGCATGTGGTATTTTGAGAGATCTATAGTGTTCTGCCCCTCACTGAACATTTTGGGAGGAAATCAACTCATGCATTTTAATATAAAAACTTCAAGAGAGAAGGTTCATCAAAGGAAAATAAGACTGGAAATTCAGAAAGTTCAGAAACTTGCCCTTTCTAAACAGTTCCACTGAAATACATGAGAATTCCTCTGAAACATAAGCAGGGTATTCTGGAGGGATGTGATGTACTGTTTGTCTGGCATACATTCACACAATCCCCTTCCCTGATCAAAATATTCATTCCTGGTTTTGTTGCTTCATTTGTTTGACCAATCCATCGCTCATTTAGTTGTAAAGGTGTTTGACTCTTGGTCCATTTCTGGGCAGGAAAGAAAAATCTCTGCCTAAAATCACTCTGCCTTCAAATGTCCCTGCAAAGATAAAGAAAGTCTGACACCAGGACAGTTGTCAGTCTGCCTGTCTGCACAGGAGAGAGGAATCGGCATAGCCCTCTGCGCCTCTGAGGAGCAGATGGTTTACAGCTGGTCCTCCTGACACACACAAAAAAAAAGATCTTAATTGGGGCACTACATCTGCCTGTTTGCCTGTTCATTTCTGCTGGTGGCCTGGCTTCAGGGTTGCCACCAGCCCACTTGGCTAAGCCCTCCTCTGGTCATCTGAAAGGGAGTTTGCAAACTCGGTCCCCGGATATAACTGATTTCCAGAGTGGAGCTGGGCAAGGCCTGCTCAGCTGTCAGCAAGAGGTCCCTGTTTTGGAAGAGGCAGAAGCAATGGCTGGGGTCTGGCAGCCAAATCTGCCAGGAAGGAGTTCAGCTTCCTTGACGGATGGTTGCCCAGGTTGTTTGGGCATCGACTCCAAGCAGGAATGAAGGAACGGAGGAGGCAGGGAGGGAGGGAGGGACAGAGGTCTCTCTGCTCCTGCCTCCCCCCTTGGAGATTAGCCTGGCTGGAATCTGGCTTGGCAAAGGCTGGGAGGAGATACGTCACTGCCTTTGTGTTGCAAACGGCAGGGAGAAAAGCTCAGGAGCCGGCATTGTCAGCTCCAAATCTGCCACATGGTCTTCTCTTTTTCAGTGTCAACAAATTGACAAGGAACCCCAGTGGCGGCCTAGGCCTTGAGGCCTGGGCACCTGGCCAGATGGGTCCCAAAGCCAGCGAGGGGGATGGAGATGAAAGCCCCAGAGATCAGAGACCCCAGATGTGGACCACCTCCACTCTCCCAGTCCAGATACTTTGGCTGCAGATACACAAAACCTTTCTTCATGTAGCAGGCTAGGTCCTTCCCATGTTTAGCTATCCTTCCGAGCAGCTGTGTCCATGCAATAATATTCTTGAAATTCACTTGCATGAAAAATTGCTCCTACCAAGAGTTTCCTTGCCTAAGTAGCAGAATGTGGGTCTTCTGATTATGACTTTCCTTCCGTGAACTGGAAAATCACTGTGCTTCTGTCCACAGGAGGGAAGGCAGAGATGGCTGCTGTTGTGAAAAAAAATAAGTAAACACTTGCACGCATACACAAAAATGCAGATTAGGATCCGATTGCAAGTCACGTCCCAGAGTTTAGATATAACTTGCAAAAAAGCAGGACTAGGAGGAAATCAATTGAGTGAGCCATCCAAGCCATGTACACTAATGGGTTAATACTACGAATGGATTAATAGCATTAATAACACTAACTCAGAGGCCTTTTCTGGCCATTCAGAAATGTTGACCCTTCCCCCAGGCCCCACCCTCATTTTTCTTTACCTCCCCAAAAAAAAAAACCAAAAAAAAAAACAGCCATGCATTTTGCTACTAAAATTCAGTAGCAAGATTCTATGCCTCTAAATGTCGGAGTTAATCCATTTGAAAATACTTTCTGGGTGAGTTTTCATTATTGTCTGAACCAGAAGCTGTTGAATCTCATTTTAGTTTAGCCTAGTGTGTTGTGTGAACTCAAACTCTTAAGTATCTGTTCAGTTAGGAAGAAATCTATTTATTTATTTTTAAATCACAATTATTTGTATTTAGGAGATAATGATGAGCTAAAATGAGTATTAGCAATCAGCATTCTAAGCATTGAAGATTATTATGTTGCTGGTACATTTCCACACTGCAACATGCAACACTGCATCATGTGATATGATATTGTCATATCACAATATAATGCTCTTCAGATTGCAAGCTTTTGTGTGGTGTTTTGGGTGAAGTCTTACAACTGTCACATACATGCTTCCAAAGAATATCTCGATTATTTTATTCCAGTTGAACAGATGCACTTCACAGTGCAGTGTGATGGCTAAACAGCTAAACACAACTCTATGCAAAGTCAACAGAAATAAATATCAGGATCATAAGAAATAACAGTGCCACATTTTTCTCCCTTAGTCAGACCTCCTTAGGACAATACCCCAGTTCTGGGCATGAATCTAAGAAAAATATCAACAAGCTAGAATGTATCTAGAAACATCACAAAGATGTGAAGGACCTGAACATTAAGGCTCATGAAATAAGATGAGGATTCTGGAGAATTTATGATCAGGAAACGTCATAGTTACCTTCAGATATCTGAAAAATTACCCTGTAGATTGGAGAACCTGTGCTCCTCCAGATATTTTTGACCTCAATTCCCAGCATCCTGGATCTGCTGGAAGTTGTTTTTCAGCAAGCTCTGAAGAGCCACAGGATCCCAAACTTTGTTATGCTTCTTGGATGAGAAGCAAAACATTTTCAAAGAAAAAAAACTCCCAAAATCCCAGTTGCCTTTTGGAAAAGAACCTTTAGAACTAACCCAATGCATTCAAATTACAAAAGTATAAACATTCACTTAAATATCAGAGAACCTGCCTGGAAACTCACTTAGAAGAATCTTCCTCCCAGTCTGGGACCTCCATTCCACAACTCTCATCATACAAACTCTGTGGATGGGATGATAAGGGGAAACATGCAACAATTTTCCTTGTGCTTGCAAAAGGTTCCAGGTGGAAAACCTTGATATCTTCCATTCAAAGACTTTCTCCTGTTGCCAAACTTTTCCTACAATGTGATCAAAATGGAGGGCAGCAGCTCTTTGGCTTGGCCAATGGCATAAGGCCACTTTCTCTTGATTTCCTCTTTGGGTTGGGCTGCCTCTCTTCCCCTCGTACATTTTATTCTTCTCCCCCCTTCCTCCCACACCCCCATGGCATTAGCTCCCAAATTAGGGCAGTTTGTTGCTCTTCAAATAATTTGCTTCTCAGAGAGGGTGCCTCTTAAGAAGACAATTTGGAATGGTCCCTTCTTTGCTTTCAAGATGGGAGGGAGTGCCAAAGGCAAAGTAGCCGACCTCTTGGAAGAGGGTTATCTGTTGGGAAGGGGAAATACCTGCCTTTTTAAAGCCCAGAGGGCTCTAAACTCTCAGGTTATCCTCAACCCATTAAAATACCTGCCAAAGTTGGAATATTATTGAGGGAAGAAGTACTTTTGTGGGTGGAGGAATAAGAGAGATGAGGAAAGAAAATCAGTCCAGAGCTCAGGGGTTATCTAGATTTCTATATATAAATAATAATTTAAAATTTTAAATTAATGAAAATATTTATTAATTTGTCCATTCACTGTGGAGGCCACCCAGCTCATCTCTCTATGCTGGATTTGGATTACATGTACAGTTTATAATGCTTTACCGCAACATTTTATGGAAATACTCTTTAAAATATTTTAAAATAATATAATAATGAATAATATATTTTATTAGATATATTAGATATAATATATCTATGCAAAGTGAAGTATTTCATAGTATTCTTGATATCAAGGGACTTACAGATCTTTTGGTGTGGCTGGATGATAAATCCAAGTTTGGGGTATTCTTTGCTTGGTATTATTATATTTTTAAGCTTGCCACTACTTCTTCCAGGCTGTTTTTTGGTTTTGGTTTTTTTTAACCAAATCTCTTACTTTAGCATAGGATCCCTTGATGATCTCCCACCCACGTTCTAACCAGACCTGACTGTCTTGACATTTTGAGATTAGACAAAATCATTTAGGGACAGCCACTGGCAAGGAAATGTACTTATATTCAGTACTGCTCTGGGTCTCTCTTAGATTTCATGTTTGCTCCACCAACCTGGGGAGACCCGTGTGTCTATTCTGTTTAGTGCTTTCAACAGTTGTGGCACCATAGAGATAGATCTTCCTTATTGAGAGCTATTACATTGAGTGGGGTTGACTTTAAAACCAGCACCCCAACCAATTCCAGTTTATCTGTGTTAGAAATGTGGGACCAAAGCAACCTGATTTTGCTTTATCTGATTTCTCTCACTGGCTTTTCCCAGCTCTCTATGCAGTTACTCACTTGCACTCACTGAGAATTCATCCAGGTGGCCCAGTTAAAGTTTAAGTCTGGTCTTTGAGTGGGCCAAAAAAAAGGGTACCCCATATCAAGGTCCTATAGTACCTCCATAATGACGTTAATAAGTGGCACTGCCTCTATAGTTGTAACATCAGATGAGTTAAGGAAAGTGGTCGGTAAATACTCCTGTCTTTGTTTCCTCTCTCAATGAGCAATCAGCAATTAATCTACAACAAGGAGGAGGGTTAGAATAGTGTAGGTGGGTGCTTGCAATTTCCCTCCTCTTTCATTCCACACTTCTCCTTCTTCCATGTTCAGGAAAAACTCAAGTGGAAGATCAATATTATGGAGGAAAATTTCAGGTACTATTGGGTGAACTTCCTCCTACTTCACCTCTGTCTCTCTTCCAAGCTTGTAATCTGTCACTTCCATCCTCATCTTACATTGTAAGAGAACACTGGTCGTGGTCAGCAGTACCCAGAAGTAGCTGATGGGGTGGACACAATGATATAAGCGTAGAAAACATGGCATTCCCTCCCAAAGTAAGAAAACGTATGGCCACACAAAATCTATTGTAGGAAAAATAGTGGAAAACCAATGATGTGTTTTTGGTGGCACAGAGCCAACAAGATAGGTTTAATAGACCTGACTCTCTCTGCTGGTTTCAACTCATCTCCTATGTAGCACAAGACTAGTGCTGTTTTACAGTAGCATTAAACTCATATAAATGCTGGGCAGACCCAACTAGAGCTTCAGAAAGTTCTGGTCAGACATTATGTGGGCACATGATGTAGAATCCAGTCTCTCCTGAAACCCAAACCAAAATGTCATGGGGTGGAGGAAGGGGCAATGGTCAGAGGGGAGAGGTCATGCCTGCAGCACCCTAAAGTGTCTT